CCTTGTGTTATTTTAGCATTTCTATTGAGCCATTGAGTCATTATAATTCAAAAATGAGAAAAAGTCTATTGAGTTACTATAATTTAAAAATGAGAGAAAGTCTATTACAGCTGTTCAATATACTTTTTCTATTATAGTTATAATCCAAAGAGTTTATACTTTATCATAGAAGTTTGATTCTGTCACCTTTCATCAATTAAATTTATGTCATATAAATAAAAATTTGTTAATTCAGTGACCATTTATTTAAAATAATAACAGATATATCATCAAACTGTATTACTTGGCTTTAGTTATTCTAATCTTGTTCAATAATTTTCTTGTTTCTCAATCAGTTGTGTTGGCGCCGTGGATTACACAACACCTCCAAAGAAGATTATGACGTCCGTGGACAACTGCACTCCACATACTTCACAACCGACTTCTCTTGTATTATTTTATTGTTTATATTAGTCCACACGGAATCTTTCATATTCAAGATTGTTGAATTTTGATACTATTATTTTGTCCGGCATCTTCAGTGGTCAAACCTTAGCGTTGGCTGTGATATGATATGTTCAGCTGTCACGATAGTGGAACTTTAATTTGTAAATAATGTAAGTAAAATTATTATCCTTATTTTGTAAAATGCTATTATTCGTTTAAATATTTAATTATTTTTTTTTTAAAAAAAAACATGATACAACAACTGCTAGCTGCCTAGGTTGGTCATAACATCCTCAAAGAAACGTCCAAGAGAACTGTAGGAAGAGCCACCCTCAGCTAGTGCCGCTCTGCTCTGTTCTTTAAGTTCCTCGGCCTTCTTCCTTGCGGGATTGGAATTCCGGTCCATAACCATAAGCTTCTTGATTCCCGTTTCTATCACATCCGCACTCACTATTTCTGGAATCTTTGTTCTATCCACGATATCGATTATGTAATCCATCTTGATCTCCACTCCTATCCCCATCTCCCTCACCACTGAAACGCATTCGCCTGCTGCTCCGAGTAAATTGGCCAAGTCGCCATCGGCACCCCAAACCAGACGCTCTCCAGAGTCGAATTCCATCCACAGTGCGACACGAATCCCCGACAGCCGGTGAGCTAACACTGCAGCTTGCGGCGCCCATCCGATGACTTTTCCGATGCTTTTAGTTCTTTCAAGGAATCCTTCCGGCAGAACCTCTCCGGGATTGTTGTAGTCGGTGGGCAAGAATGAGGCTTGAGTCGGTGGCCGCCTCAACGCCCACAGGAACCTCTGCCCGCTCCGCTCAAGTGCGTAAGCGATCTCCTTCACTTGAGGCTCGGGGAAATGACCCGCGCTTCCGAAGCAAAGGAACACAACTGATGAGTCTGGATGGTCACCCAGCCATTCCAGGGTTTTATTCTCCGATTCTTGGTCGTTTTCAGATTTTAGGTTCAATAGGGGTCCGACAGGGTACACAGGTGGGACCTCCCCGGAGAGAGATTAGAGTGCATGCGGCTCTAGCTCGAAGAAGGTGTTGACGATGATGCCTTTCGCCTCTCGCATTCGTTTGGCAACATCCAAGAAAAAGGTTGACCAGCCCGTCTTCTCTCGCGCAACGAACGGCAACAGCTTAACCGGAAAAGGGTTCAGGTAAGCCGAGACAGTCAGGTCCGGATCGGAATCTTTCAACGCCGTCACATCTACGCCGCGGCCATCTCTAAGGCTCTGTAGATGCAGTTGAAGGCCGAGCATGGCTGCACCGGAGGCGTTTAGCACATAGGTGGTACCCAAGCTCATCAGCCACATCTGCCATGGCGGAAGAGTAGGCATCCACCAGGCTAGCCTTACAGAACCGATCCGACGATCTCGTGAACGCAGTCTCTGACGAGAGGCTTGTGAGAATCGATGAAGACTCGAAGAAAGCGCTGTCCATGGCGTTACTATTGTTGAGAGCAGATTGGTCGTTAGGGAGTGGCTTGACCTTCATTCTCGAGTCATCATTGTGGAGTGATTCCAGGTAAGAAGTGACCTTGGTATCGTGAGGAAAGGTGATGGCGAGAAGAGTAACGGAGAGATGGTGTTGTCTGTGTATGAGGAGCTTTGCCATATCAATGGCAGGTCTGATGTGACCCATTCCTGGGAATGGAACGAAAACTAACTCCACTGCGTCTTTCATCTTCACTGCTAGCTACTCCGGAATTGAAGAGATTGAGAGAAACTAGTATAACTACCTCTGATGAGTGGCCGTCATTTTCATAAAGATGTGGCTATTGCCGGACATTCACAACTGTCTGTGAAAGGAAACAACCACTAGGTTCCTTTGAGGTCGGTGGACGATGTATTAATAAAATATTCAATATTTTTAAAATAAAAAAAAAACAAAAATTAAAAAGAATTGACACTATAGGCCGGTCTATAGATGAACTTATAATAAAAGTGTAATAAATGAACTTCATATATAATATTTTATAAAGTTAATTGAAGTGAAATCATATATATCAAACTGAATCTTCTAGTGTTACTCCTGAAACTATAGAACATATATATACTATCTTGTAAAAATTATGAGTATTTATAAAAAAAAAAATTGAATTGAATTTTCTATTATAATAGTTGTGAATTCAAATCAGTATATATATTTAAATTCAAAATATATTTGAAATTATAATTCATAAATCATAATTGTTTACTACATGCTCAAAGAAACATGAGTAAATACTCAAAATGGTCCCTCGATTATAGCTAAATTCATAAATTGGTTTTCGACTTTCAATTTCAACCAATTAAGTCCTTAACTTTGTAATTTTAACACAATTTAGTCCTCTATCTATTTGACCGTTTGTTGACCGTGATTTTTGAGGATATATTTGTAATTTCATGGTCCATCGTCGGTTTCTTAAGGTTCCGGTTGCATTTCCAGACTGCACTGTTAATTTGAATCTACTGTCGAAAGCAATATACCAAATCCGGTTGCCTTTCTTCATCCTCACTTTTGATTCAATGTAGTTGAGTTCATACCAGAGCGAAGAAGACAATGTGTTTCCGAACCGGTGCAACGTCATCCTGGAGGCCTCCACGTGCTTCGACGAGAGCTGCAGGTTCTTCTGGAGATCATTGATGACGGCGCGGCCGCCGAGGTTGATGCAGAAGTGTTCGAAGACCTGTTTGAAGTTGGGAATGTAGGGTTTCCATATGGGATTGAAGATTTTCAGGCCGATTAGGGTGAAGAGGAAGATGAGCTGCTCCAACACCGGGAGAACGAGCAAGCCGATTGTGGTTATGTTGGATTTGAGGGCTTCGCTGGCGGTCTTTTGAGAGGTTGATTCAGACTTTCCCTTGCGGATCTTCCTGCTCGTAAACGTAGCGGTAGGCTTTGTAGTCGGTGCCCTTGTGCGTGCGAACCACGTGCATGAGCCGGTAATTGGCCCGACCTGAATCGTGCTTCTTGTTGGACACGAGAATCACGGTCAACAAACGGTCAAATTGGAGGACCAAATCGTGTCAAAATTGCAAAGTTAAGGACTTAATTGGTTGAAATTGAAAGTCGATGACCAATTTATGAATTTAGCTATAGTCGAGGGACCATTTTGGGTATTTACTCAAGAAACATTGAAGATAATTAAAAGATGAGTCACCCTCTTGTACTACCATTCTGCTCGACATTGTGACACAGAGCCCTCCAAAGTCCAAAGCAGGGTGAGCTAGCATGGATCAATGACCGAAATGTGTGGTCAAAAGCCTGAAATTCCCAAAGTGTGTCGCGTTTTTTTTTTTTTTTTTTTGACAAAAATATGTAAAACTCCTTTGGGAGTTGCGTTTTTTGTTGTGTCCCGGCATTTTTTTTTTTCCGATATTTTCGTAAAACGCAAGAGGTAGTTGCGTTTACGTATTCGTATACGTAAAACGCATTACCTAATGCGTTTTCTAGGGGATACGGTATAGGCAAAAACGCAACTTACGTTTGCGTCTTACGTATTATACGGAAAACGCAAAAGTAAGTTGCGTTTTTTGGATTTTTTGTACCGGCGACATCGAAGAACGGCGAGGACCACAAATAACTGTTATTCAATCATTTCCCAGTCCATCGTTCAAAATTTTTCGAAAAAAATCCATCGTTTCCTATATAGACTGCGCGTCCTCTCTTCTCTTCTTGTTATCATAATCAACAATAATGGCGAACCAAACCCAGAACAGAAAGCAGAACAGAAACGCCGGCGGTGCTCCACCGGCACCGAACGCCGTTGTTCAAGACCAAGAGAGAGTTCAGGCTCCGGAGACGGCGACGCTGCTCGGCGCGGGAATGATAGGCAGGCGACGGCGTTTGACTTAGTGGAGCAAATGCAGTTTTTGTACGTGAGAGTGGTGAAGGCGAAGGAGTTGCCGGCAAACGATCATTCCCCTCACCCTTTTGTGGAAGTGAGGAGGAAGTGCAAGTGGCCTTTTACGTTTACTTACAAAAACGCAATTCATTCTTGCGTTTTTCACATAATTCCGGCGGACTACACCGGTAAATAGTCCGCATTTCGGAGTTGCGTTTTACGTATTTTATAGGATTATACGTAAAACGCATCTCCCAAATGTGTTTTAACATATTCATACGTCACATAAAAACGCATTTGGCAGATGCGTTTAACGTATAGAATACGAAAAACGCAACTCGCCATTGCGTTTTACGTAAATAATGAAAAAAAAAAAAAATACAGTCGGGACAACAACAAAAACGCAACTGGAAACTGAGTTTACATATTTTTGTCAAAAAAAAAATCAAGACACATTTAAGGAAATTCTCTTGGCCATCTACACATTTCGGTCATTGATCCGAGCTAGCATGGCAACATGCGGTGCCCATCGGTTAATTTTACTCATGCTTTTAATTCTTTTAAAGAATCCTTCCGATTATCGCAATCTCTGACGACGTTAGGCTTTTGAGATTCGATGAAGAAACTGAAGAAGGTGAACTTGTTGGTCCTCTGGCACTGGCAGTGGTATGAACTTCAACCTGGAGAAGTCGTTATCGGCAAGTAAAGATTGGATATATGAATTAATGTTGGAATCAATTGCAGGCATATTCAGGAGCAAGATTGTAAATGGAGAGTTGATGTTTGTTTTGTAGAAGGAGCTTTGCTGTTTCCACAGCAGAAACAAGGTGACCCATTCCAGGAGATGGAATGTAAACCAGTGTAACGTCCTGTTTGGTAAAATAATTAACTTATCAACTTATTTTATACCATTGGACAAGGTCTTTGGTATCAGCTTATCAATTTATTTGATAACTAGTAATTGTCCCGTGCGATGCACGGATAAGAATTATACAATATTACGTTAAGTTATTTTAATATTAACCTAAAGAATATTTTGTAAAGATATTGATTCTTAAAGTTTACGGAGAAGTTTTATGTAAATACTAAAAGAAGAAGTTAATTAGAAATAAATGTATCCAAAGTAGTAGACAAAGTAAGGCATGACAAAAGTTAATAAACATTGAAATAAAATTACAAATTATTAAATACTTCGTGGTACACAACATTGGTAGTTGAAGTACAACTCGTTTCACCTTCGTTTGCAATTAAAATTTTTAGACCCTTAGGGTTGCTAACTCTAGACGCAGCAACGTACAATTGACCATGTACAAACACTGGTTTCTTCAACAGCAAACCTACATGAGACAGTGTCTGTCCTTGACTTTTGTTTATGGTCATTGCGTACGACAACATAAGAGGGAATTGTCTTCTTTGGAATTTGAATGGCAATCTTGGATCTGATGGGGTCATTGACATCCTAGGTATTAAAACCATTGTACCAGAGCTGTTACCAGTCACAATTTTTGCTTCCACAACATGGTCCGATAACCTAGTGATGACCAACCTCGTACCATTGCATAAACCAAGCGAGTGGTCTATATTCCTCAATAACATTACAGGGGATCCCACCTTTAGAGTTAATGCATGGTTAGGGATACCAGATGCTCGCAATCCATTTAGAAACTCAGGAGTGTGCACATCTGAAAGGATACCGTTGCTTGAATCAGACTTACAAACTGTGTCGCAACTGAAATAAGTCTTGCTCTCAGCTACATGCAACTGACTCATATACTCATTTATGGCGTTAACAACATCAAGTGTTGGAGCCAATATTGCTCGACTTTCAAGGTAGCTATGGTCACATCCACCATTTTTGAACATTGGGAATGTACTATCTACAATTGTTGCTATATGGTCACCGGTAGATGGCAACAACATTTCCTGTGGGATGTTAACATTTGCATAACCATCATTTGGACCTCCCATTGTTCCATCTCCGATAGATGCAAGCCATTCTGCAAAATCTTCAACTTGTTGTAGATCAACCTCGGGGTCCATTCTATTTAATCGGAGATTCTTTGTTAACCTAAGAACTTTACATGTATCCCAAAGATAAGAAGAATTTATGGTAGCTGATACAATATCTTGCCTTGTACCTTTAGGTATAACAGGCAATATTTGCCTAAAGTCACCCCCAAATACAACAGTCTTGCCACCAAATGTCTTTTCAGCACTAAGCGGATCGTGGAATCGCATCAAATCCCTCATTGTTCTATCTAATGCTTCAAAACAGTGCTTGTGCATCATCGGTGCTTCGTCCAAATTATTAACTTTGTCTTTACAATTAATTCTGCGAGGTGGCTACCTTGATTGATATTACACGTTGAATCTTCATTTAAAGAAATTGGTATTGCAAATCTGGAGTGAGCAGTTCGTCCTCCAGTTAGAAGTAATGAGGCTATACCACTTGAGGCAACATTGATGACGATATCACCTTTAGATCGCAATTTTGCAGACAAAGCCTTCCAAACAAATGTTTTCCCGTTCCACCATAACCGTACACAAAAAACAATCCACCGTTGTTCAAGGATACATCTCCCAAGATTGTTTCATATACTATGGTTTGTTCGTCAGTTAATTGTCTTTCCATCATTTGACTCTCTTCATGTAAAGCTTCACGATCATAAGCCAGTTCCTCAAACAACAATCTATTATCAACACCAACCATGCATCATCGAAGTTTGGTAATGGCATTTGAGGGTAGTCTTTCAAAGACTTGTTGTACAACTGTAGCAATTTCTCCAATTCAATCAAACATAAATTCTTCTTATCGTCATCTGATAATATCAAGTCTGTCATCCACACAAAAAAAAATGAATAAAACAAATGTTAAATTCATTAGTAAATATATAAAAATAAACTAAAAAAAAATGTTAAAAGTCTGAGAGTACAACCTTCTTTCTGTAAGACTCTTCGTCTATTAAACTGTGCATCCTCTGACAGATGTTGCCACACGGCATTCCAAACATTTTCCGGCCTAATAACCAAGTTCGATGTCAAGAGTATGACAAACAATTTCCTCATGGCTTGTGCAGTTGACCAATGACTTGCCTCATTTATTGCATCAATATATTCTTTGTCATCGTCAAGTAGCCCCCGTGCATAACATGCATCTCTAAAACTTGGATACTTTACTCCCTCAAAAGTCATGATATCTTCAAAATTGGTAGGACCCCGAACTACATTCAAGAGACATCGCAAGTAATATATTTCACCGCTACCTGGGGGTACATAAAAAATGCGACCAATTGAAAAACCCCGTTTCCTTGGATGCCATTCTCTAATATCTTTCTTCCAGACAAATTTGGTTGGCATGTCAATATATGTCAATCCCTTTGCAACATCAAATCTCTTATTTGCATCGAACCAGCCAGTGAACATACTTTGACCCACAGTAGGACGATTCAAGACGTTGTCTATTCGATCGTCATCCTCGAACAACTGACTGGCAATTTGGAAGGTGGAAACTTAGTCTCTCAACTGGAGGGGTCCTAAATTGGACATCGAAACTAAGGAGTCGCCATGTAGCCGCAAGCAGACACGTATCTGCAATCATAGTACATGCTTATCTCATCTACCACTTCATTTGAATGTTCATCAGTTGTACTCTTGTAGAATTCAGCTGTGACCCTGTCATTTCCCTTGTTGACATATTTGAACAGGTATTTGATAGACCTCGATTGATTACACCATTCCACGTTTATGTGTGCCCTATACTTGAGAAGCAGATATCTGTTATGTGGTACAACATATCTATTATCTAATTCCACTCCATTTTTTAAGATAGTTCTACCATCGTCCCGGCGCATGTAGATTGGGTAGCCGTCTTCATCCCAATTGGAGAGCTCAACAAATCTTTTCGGGAAGTGTTTTGAACATCTTCCGTTCACCATGCAAGGCGATTTTGTTCTCGCTGGTCCACAAGGACCGTGTATCATAAATTCTTCAACAACATTGTAGTAATCCTTGTCCACTACTTTGTCCGGTATCTCTGCTGAAATAATGGAATCCATGTAGTTTGATGTCGACCTTTGACTATTTCTTTCCAAAAAAAGTAATAGGTGGGGCATGTGGTAAACCACGTTTTTGAAACTCAATGGTGTATACAACTGAAATAAAATAAGGTTGACAGGAATTATGTTATGAAAATTAACATATCATAAAAAAACATATTATTCTATCTAAGTATCCAAGGACCGTACCTGCAGTAACTGCACCGAATAATTTGCCAGCTCTCAATTCCTTAACCAAGCAATCCAACTTCATCTTAAATATTCTACAGACAATGTCTGGTCTATCTTCTGCTTTCAAATTGCGCTTGTCTAGATATCGTTGTATCTCCGGCCACTTGGATTGCAAGTAAATGTAATGAATAATTGGGATATCCTTTCTGACGACATATTGCCATTGCATCCTGGTAATTCTGTATCATATATCTTGCACCACCAGTGAAACTCGACGGCAGAATTATTCGTTTACCTTGTTTGTTAGAATCAACTTCTCCTCTTGTCAATGCATCTGACAGTCCTTTGTATGCTTCACACCTTAAAGCTTTCTGATTGTTCCTAATGAAGAATAGCCTACTGGATTCAACCATTGTGTATGCATCAACCAAAAATTGTTGGAAAAGTCGCTTTGCATATAGTAAAGTTGACACTTCACTAAATCTTTCATGTATCCGATATGAAAAATACTCTCGCTGCGATACACGTACCCTTCCCCCACCACGATGGTTTACAGAGAAGTTAAACTGAATGTCCTCCCTATACCCATCCTCGCCATATGGGAACAAAATAGGATACTGCAATGGTAAGTATGCGGGATTCAACTCACTTATCCTTTTTAAACCACCTGATTTACACTCAACCAAAATGTCACGTTCACCTATTGTTGGGTCTAGATCACCGACAATAAGAGCTGCGACTTCTGAAACTGTTGGTAAATTATAAGTTCTTGCATCATTGTTTCGTTTACCAATAAGTCTCATTTTAATCTCTACTCGTGGGTTAGAGTCAATTTCAGATTTAGCCCATCGAAATGATTTCACTAATACATTGTACTTATCTAGAACCTGTTTAATATCTCCAACAATATCAACATGTATATTAGCTCTATCTTCTTCTTTCCTACAGAAAACAAAAACAAAGCTATTAAAAAATACATTGAAACACCTGAATGAGTTCATGCGATTATAAGATTGAATTAGCAAATGCGATTATCACCTGAATGAGTTCATGCGATTATCAATTTCATTTTGAGTGTCATGTATGTAAAGTTGTGCAAACTTTGGCTTATTACCGTCATTTGGTAATAAGCTTCCAATCAAATGAAAGTTTTGACCATTAATCCTATAGGTGGAGCCTTTCCAGTATTTAGAGATTTGTCAACCTTTGCTCCCATAGAAGTAAAACAAAACATGTTATTATATGTCCTGATGTTTTGCAGAAATTCTGTTCTCTTATTCCCGTGACAAAAGAATAAATCAAATATTTTTTTGGGAGGCATCCGTATTTGAGGCAGCTTAATTTTCCCATGTCCACAACACGCCGAATATCTCGTGGCTCCACTCATCAATGCTTTATTCACTCGCTCCTCGTACCAAAATAATGCATTGCAATGTTCACATAAATTTTGTTGGTCACCCAAATCTGCATACTCAACTGCAATACAAATTAATTCTTTAGTTGCATATACTGTGTCATGGGACTTCAGTTTAAGTTATCTATTTATGTAACAAAGTATAATCAATTATAGCTCACCAACTATTGAATTAATTATATTTTGTCCAGGATCTAGTACTTCATCAAAGTCTATATTTAGATTGCGGCAAGTAAGAGTTGGTTGAATTGTGACTTGTCCGACACTTTGTAAATCGAGTACATTTTCCAACCCCAAAGAAGTATTACAATGACCTATGATACAAACAAAAAGCAACGTAAAAAGACATTTCTTAATTAGAAACAATTTAATAAGATAATTGTATGATTTATTATTTAAACAAATAAATATAGCATAATTAAAAACCATAATGTTACAATTTGGTGTCTTCAAAGTCGATCTGTTATCGTCTTTGCCCTTTGATGTCTTCACTTTCAATACTGACAATCCGTTACCATCATTAACAGTGACTTGGATAACTACAATACAAAAAGAATAATATTGATTTAATGCTTACAATGAGAACCCAAATATATATATATATATATATATATATATATATATATATATATATATATATATATTTACTATGATGAAAACAAAAATAGTCTAATAGAAATAATGGTTACTAACCATTTGTCACATCAGTCAAAGGTAGGATAGATTGAGCATTAAATTGTGAATCCATGCTAGCTTTACTATTGTTGTGAGAGTGGTTTTCCTTGGACACTAAAATTCACAATAGAAGGGTATTCTTATATTTTTTATATATAAATCATTTGTATTGGAAAACATGTTTTAACAACAATATTTTTACCCTGAATATTACTGTGAGCAGTAACCGCCTCCTATGTGTAGATATATCCATCTGTTCGTTTTCATTAAGAGTTGCTCTTTTCTTTACTGTGCGAGAAATACTTGATTTTATTAAATTGCCACCTGCATATTAAAATATTTGCAACATGAATAATTATCTGCATATCAATGACTTACAAATATTAACCTCAAAATACTTACTATGAGTTATAATGCTCAATGGTGAATTTATTGAACTGTCAAAAACACCATAAACATAGCTATCTTCTGGATTAAAATCTCTACTACTGTTGATCCAACTATTATCATTTTCTGGGGGAAAAGAAATATCAAAATAAGTTTAAATAAAAAACAGGCCAAAATAGAAGACATGCAAAATAATAATATAAGATTTAAAAGAGAGAGAGAGGACGAAATAAAAAATTATATAAAAAGCAAATAAATAAATAACTAATTAGACCACCGTATGGTCTGGCAACACTGTAG